CTGTGATATTAATAAACAACAAGTCTACGTATAAATAAAAGAAAATTGAATTTTTAATCATTGATTTCGTAGATTTTTCAGTACTCTGAGAAAGTATCGACAGATGATGCGTGAAAATACCAGTTTAGGAACTGTAAATTCATATAAATATCAAACTTTCCATGATTTATATTCTTCATTTTAGATGAAACAATCAAGACCACCTCTTCATGATGATGACGATGAAAGAGAAGAAGAATATAATAATCGCTCTCGTAGTAAGAAGAATTATTTCTTTTCTTTTCTTTTTTACATTTCTAAATATTCGTTTTTGAATTTTATTTTTAGATTCGGCTCAATTTGCTAACGAAGGTAGAGGTAATCATCGTGGTGGTCCTAGAAATGCTCCGTCACGCGGTGGTTTCGATGATCGTCCTATAACTCCTTTGCGATCAAGTTTTAAACAAGTTGCTGAGAGATATGGTGATGAAGATGATTCACAATATCATGATAATCGTTATAATGATCGTAGTCCAACGCGTGATAATGAAGGAACATTAACAAATCAACGACTTATGTCTGCATCACAACGTTCAACAATGAACTCAATGAGTCGAACTATAGATCCAAAATATGCAGCTAAACCTAAACAACCAACAAAAAATACGTCACTCGGAAGAACCATGGGTAGTATGACAAGAGAAAGATCAACTCTTGAAGATGGTAAATTTAATTTATATCATAAATTTATAAACTTACAACTTTTTTATTATTCTAGGAAATGGCACTACATTAAGAGATAATCCAAAAAATGATCCATACGGTCCAGCAGCGAGAGATATGAAAATTCATACATTACGAGCGTATGTATAAATTCTATTTTATTTTTCATGTGATGAAATTCTCTATTTTTCTTTTGTAGAAAAGCAATTAATTTGTTAGGTGAATCAACATTTGAAAGAGTTTATGATTATTATGTTAAACAACGTACTGCGCAAAAAACAGATCCAAATTTAGATGATGTAAAAATTAGTGAAGGTCTTAAATCAATTGTTCAAAAACCTGCTAATTGTTTTCTTGTTGATCAACTTGTATTCCTTGAACTTATATCATAATGTGAATAAGCAAATATGATTTTTAGATGACGTCTATCTTATTCAATCATCTTTTCATTTCTATAGTCATAACAAAAGCAACATTATCTTTATAATATTCAAGATTATATCTTATTTTTAACTAAAAGAAAAAAAAATTTCTATTGTATCTTTGTTTTCTTCTTAATTATGTTAAGATGATCCTATCAACAAGCTGTGATATTAATAAACAACAAGTCTAC